CGCGGCTGCATTCTGGACAAGCTGAAGTCTCCGAATGCTCTTCAAGGGCTGCCCCATGTAGAGCGCATTGCAGTAGTCCAAGAGAGCACCAAGGAGCCCACAGTTCGCTTTCTCTTCTTAATTTGAAAGAAAGTAGTGCAACACCCCCCCCCCCTCTTCTGAGCAAGAGTATGTTGGTGGCTCTTAGCATGACTGGCAAAACTACAATTTCCCTCCCTCCCTTTCCTGATTTTTAAACTCAATTAATGCAGTTTTCTGACTTCCTATCCAAGCCGCTCTGTACTAATTCCATGGGACATCTCTCTAGAATTCAGTTAGGCACTTCTGCAAAGGATGATAACAGGGCAGCCACGTTCCAACAATATTAACTTCAACAGCCTCACAATTCAATTAATCTTATCTTTCTAACTCCCAATTACAGGCGGTAATTAAGTAAAAATAGCATCGTAATCCAAAGAATGGCATTCATCGTTGACTGCCTCCTAACAGTGAATGAGCCTCAAACTTTCAACACATTCCCAAAAGAAATAGGATAGCTCATTTCTTGCTAATCCACCAGAAGAAGCGCTTGGATCTGGACTAATTTATTCATTGTTTTATTTGTTTTATGTTAGTGAAAAATGACTTTTAAAAAAATTAAAATTCAAGGCAAGCAAAACAGAGAGAAGTTAAAGGTAATGTCCCAGCGCTCCTTTTCTGTCCATATTTTCTTTCTGGATCGCCCACTTAACATTAGCGCATGAGTTTGCTGATCACTTCAGAGGAAAAACATCACTTTGATCTAAGTTTGGGATATATCTTTTTTTTTTAAAGAAGATCTTTGTTTCAAGAGTCTTTGTAGCTGTCAATGAAAGAGGCTTCTCCTATGGGAAACCCAGGAACTTACCAATAGAAGAGAAGATTTCTAGCTCAGGGTTGAGTTGTGGGGTCCTTGGTGCTCTCTGAGCTTAGTGGTCTTCTTGCAGATGTTTCATGGCCCAATTGGGTAATGTCACCAGTGCTAGAAGAGAGTGGGGTTTGAGGAGAGGAGGAGGAAGAGAAGAGGAAGAGGGAGAAGAGGAGGAAGAGAAAAGGAGAGGAAGAGAGGAGGAAGGCAAGGAGAGGAGGAGGAAGGGAAGGAGAAGAGGAGGAGGAAGGGAGGAGGAAGAGGAGGAGAGGGAAGAGGGAGGATGAGGAGAAGGAGGAAGAGAAGGAGAGGGAGGAGGAAGAAGTCGTCCTTGGTGCTTTCTGAGCTTCATGGTTTCACTGCCCAACTATGTAACATCATCAGGACAAGCCATAGGTACAGTATGGAAACAGAGCAAACTCCACACACTCTTCTAGCACTGATCCATTTAGCACCACCAAGCTCATATGTGACATCATCTGTGCTGCAAGGGAGTGGGGTTTGCGGAGGGAGGAGGAGGAGACTGTGGAGTTCTTGGTGCTTTCTGAACTTGATTGTATCTGATGATGTTACCTAGTTTGGTAATGAAACGTCTGAAAGAAAATAACCAAGCTCAGAGAGCAGCAGGCCACCTCCACAAGAGCTTGATAAGGGAAGCCCATTCATGCCCAGAGCAGCCTTGTCTAATAATCATTTGTTCAGCGACCACTCAGAGCTACAGTGCTGCTGAATGGATGGTAGTTACAACTGGTCCTCAAGGTTTTGACTCTTGTATCACACCCATCCCCCCCCAGTCATGTGATCTAAGTTCCTTAGATCCTTCTAGCACTGATGATGTTCCCTAGTTGGGTCATGAAATGTTTGCAAGAAGACAACCAGTCACGTGATCAAAGTTTGAGTGCTTTCTACAGGGGCTTAGCTTTCTAAACTCTAGTGGACCGTGTTCTCATCACTCATCATGTCCAGGCTTCCTCAGGAGGAAAGGGGATTTTGTTTATTTATTTAAAACATTTAAATAGGATAAACTCATTGATATGTATGTGGGATAAACACATGTTGGAACCTACTTCTCTGTTTCTTTCCTTCATCTGGGACTTTCAAGAGGAAATAGAGAATAACTTCAGAGTGCCCAATACGGATTTTCTTTACCCTGAAACGGGCTTTTCTGAGCTGATGCATTCAGTGGCAGAATGTTTTTTTCACACTGCTGTAACAGTTTAGCCACCCCCTTCTCTTTCTTCGCTCCTTGCTTGGGAAAGTGGGACTCCGAACGAGAGGTTAATCTTCCATGATCCCATGGTGTTTAAGATAACTGCAGGATCTTGTGTTCCAATATCTCAGGGGCTGCCACAAAGAAGAGGGGGGTCATCTTATTTTCTAAAGAACCAGAAGGCAGGACATGAAGCAGCGGATGGAAACTATTCAAGGAGAGAAGCAACCTCAAAATAAGGACAAGTTTCCTAACAGTTAGAACAATTAGTCATTGGAACAACTTGCCTCCAGAAATTGTGGGTGCTCCAACATTGGAGACTGTTAAGAAGAGTCTAGACAGCCATTTCTCTCTCTTTTTTAAAAAAGTTTTTTTTAATTTTTTTTACAAACATATCGTTGTGTGAACAGTGTGGCACTGGAATGTCTTACATTTTAGTACAAATAAAACAATATTCTTCATATTTAATACAGTCAACAATCTTACAGAGTTTTAGTAATAACACACATATATTGTTGAATTATAATCTTTCATTCTTTGATCATTCAGTATTTCAGTATGTTATTTTTATGTCAATCTTCATATTCTAAATGTCACTCCTTTTACTACGAATAAAATATTAACAATCATATTAGTTGTGTTTAACAGACTTATATACTGTAGTTCTAATAATAGTACACAGATTCATATTAAATTATAATCTTCCATTGTTTATCCCCTTTTTAATTTTTAGTTTAGTCAGCCATTTCTCTGAGGTGGTGTAGGGCTTCCTGCTTAGGCAGGGGGCTGGACTAGGATATCCTCCCAGGGTCCCTCCCAACTCTGTTATTCTCTTATTCATGTTTGAAATAATGATTAGAGAAGGGAGGAGATGTTTGGATAGGGGAAAACTCCTGGCTGGTGGGTTGTGAAGGGCAAGGAACCAACTTCCGCCAACAGATTCCTAATGAATCGATTTGGGAGCAGAAATTCTAGGCTTAATTTTTCTGATGAGTTTTCCTTTCCTTTGCCAGGTATGCTATACCTCCAGAACACGGCAAGAGGCTGGAAAGATTGGCCAAAGGTAAGATCATTCTGCACATCAAAGGGGCTGACTGTGTGTGCCTGCTCAAGGACTAATTTGGGTCAAATGAATCAATAATGTTATGCAAGATTTGATGCTACATAAGCTAAAAATATGCCTGAATCTGTATGTGATGATTGGAATCGCTTCTGTGTGAGGTGCATCCATTGTGGTACCCTGTGACCGGTTCACATATCCTACCTTCTAAAGTTAGCCATTGAGGTTTCTCTCCTAAGCCTTTTAGTTTAAAGCAGTTTTTAACCTGTGATCCATGGAAGGGTCTGATGTCATTAAAAGGGGTCTGCAAAGGCTTGAAGAAATATTATGATTTCAATCTTCAGCTAAGACTTGGGGATCCGTGACCACAAAAGTTATTTAAAGTTATTTTTAAATAAAAGTTATTTAAGATGCTGAGTTTGTCCATCAGAAAGGTCAGAAGTTTGGTGGTTCAAATCCCTAGCGCCACATAACAGAGTGAGCTCCCGTTACTTGACCCAGCTTCTGCCAACCTAGCAGTTCGAAAGCATGTAAAAAATGCAAGTAGAAAAATAGGAACCACCTTTGGTGGGAAGATAACAGCGTTCCATACACCTTTGACATTGAGTCATGCTGGCCACATGACCACAGAGACGTCTTCGGACATCGCTGGCTCTTCGGCTTAGAAACGGAGATGAGCACCGCCCCCTAGAGTCAGGAACGACTAGCACATATGTGCGAAGGGAACCTTTACCTTTTACCTTGGTGAAGAAAACTTTGAGAACTACTGGTTTAAGGCATAGTGCTAATCCAGCCAAGTACAGGGGTCCCCAGCTTCATGTGTGCATGTGTCGTAACACATAAAACCATTCTCCCTGGTCAGTGGAAAACTGACCATAATTTTAACCTGACTGTCTATTGTCGACCTCATCCCATTCCCAAGAGGTCTGTTAAGGGAGTGTGCATAAGCGCACCAGTGTGCCTACTATCCCTGACCTACTGCCTCCATTGATTGATACCCATTGACTGTGTTCATATTTATGTTTATACTTACACCTGTTATCTTTTACATGTTTGACAAATTAAAATAAATAAAAATGAAATAAAACGATTTTTCCATGAAGCCGGATCTGTGGGAAACAGTTTTCCCATGGAACCAGTCCCTGGTGCCCAAAAGGTTGGGGACCACTGGTTTAATACACAGTATTTTTACTGGGAGCACTCCTGAATTTCTGCTTGGGAAAAAATTACTTACAAGTGAAAATCTTCTATCAAAAGGAGGATAATTTATCTGTCTTAAATTCAATAGGTTTCAATTTTCTTCCGTCACGCATAGACTTTTGTCTTAGTGCCCTTTTGCCTTCTTAACTGTCGTTAAGAATATAACTGTGAGTAGCTGTTCTATTACACCTGACTTCTCTATTCTTCAAAATAATCAAGATAAAGTGAGCGCCAAGGAGAAATAGCAGAAGACTCACTTAAAAGAGCTTATGCCATATTTTTATAATATAGACCTCAATGGAAGCTTCTTCTTCTTCTTTACATAATGAGGCCCAGGGCCATTTACAATGTTTAAGACTAGCACTTTGACTCCGGCTAAACAGAATCGCTATTAACTATAGGTAGTCCTCGACTTACGACCACAGATGAGCCCAAAATTTCCATTGCTAAGCCAGACGGTTAAGTGAGTTTTGACCCATTTTGCCACCTTTCTCGCTACAGTTATTAAGTGAGTCACTGCAGTTGTTAAGTTACCAACACGGTGGTTGAGTGAATCTGCCTTCCCCGTTGACTTTGCTCGTCAGAAGTTGATCCCATGACTCCAGCAACCGCCATAAATATGAACCAGTTGCCAAGATGCTGGATTTGGATCACATGACCACGGGGATGCTGCAACAGCCATAAGTGTGAAAAGTGGTCATAGGTCACTTTTCTCAGTGCCGTTGTAACTTCTGATGGTCATTAAATGAACTGTTGTAGGTCAAGGACTACTTGTAATATGTGTTCTCTAAACAGCTGCATTTCCCCTTCTTGATTTTCAGTAACCGTGGGATACAGACCAAGAGTGAAGCCTGACTCTTGACTCTTACCTAACTGACTATTTTCTTTTGGGGGTTGGGGGAGATGAACAATAAAAAGGCAGGCAGTTAGTTATTGGGCTGCCCCTTCAATGTCAAATAAATAGAAAAAATACATGAGGTGTCCGGATGAAGGAAAGCATCACGCCCGTCTCTTAGGAAGCCATTCCCTCCGGCGACATTGCACAAAATAGAAATAACATATTGAAAACCAGTGACTGGAAAATGAGAGCTGCAAACCAATTTTTTTATTCATACCATTTTCTCTTGGTCATATGTCAAGCTTTTTACAAAAACTGGCATTTCCCCCAGCGTCAAAATCTCCATAAATTCCGATTGCCCATAAGAAGAGGTAGGCGTATGTTGTGTTTAAAAATAGGGTTTGGAAGTCTTGTGTTAAACTGAATCTGTGGGATGTTATTTCTTTTGCTGTCCACCTCCCTTTGTTTTTGGAAGTGAATACTGTATTGTGATAATGTGGTCAAGATTTGTGGTTTTGCTACTAGTTGATCCATCTGGAAGTGGATGAGTATGTTGTATTTGGAAAAAAAATATGAGCCCTTTCATAGAAGAGAATATTTGTAGTTCAGGATTGAACGGTGAGGTCCTTGGTGTTCTCTGAGCTTGGTTGTTTTCTTGTAGACGTTTCATAACCCAACTAGATAATGTCATCAGTGCTAGATGGGAGTAAGGTTTAGTATACGTTTTACTCAAACAGTAAACAACAGCCTAAGCTAGAAACCACCACCATGCACATAGGGAAAGCCACTAGTATAGTGTTGGAGAATTTTTTCGGCACAAAGAGCCGAAACGGGAGTGCACATGCATGTGCCAGAAACTGGAAGAGCAGCCACCCGGTGCACATGCGCACTCCAGGTAGATGACCTTCTGGTTTTCAGTGCACCAGCTGGTCTTTACGTGCGCATGTGCCAGAACCCAGAAGACCAGGTGGCTGGTGCGCATGCATGCGCCGGAAACCGGAAGATCATTTTCCCAGCACGCGCATGCACATCGGGCAGCTTGCCTTCCAGTTTCTGGCACTCCCGCTTGCGTTAAGACCAGCTGGCTGGTGTGCCGGAACCCAGCAGAGCAATGGGCGACAGCTTGTGTGCCCGGAGAGATGGCTCTGTGTGCCACTTTTGGCACATGTGCCATAGGTTCACCGTCACGGCGCTAGTATGTAAAAAGAGACGAAACCCCAGTGCCTTCCACTGCTTAATTGTCTTCACTATCAGAAAATTTCTCCTTAATTCCAGGTTGCTTCTCTCCTTGGTTAGTTTCCACCCATTGCTTCTTGTCCCGCCCTTGGGGGCTTTGGAGAATAGCTTGACTCCCTCTTCTCTCTGACAACCCCTCAAATATTGGAAGGCTGCTATCGTGCCACTCCCCTATTCCTCCTTTTCATTAAAAACAAGAGTGGCATTTACTGCCACTTGGCTTTCTATAGTTTTATACCTGGAAATTGCTGACTAAGCCATCCCACGTTAATCTGGATCGCCTGCTGTATATCTCACCTCCATCAGGGATGAACGTAAGCTTTTCCCCTTGGTAATGAGTTAGCTAGCAAAACCAGGATTGCACTATATCAAAATTAGTTAATGTTACAGATGTTACATGGGATATTAAAAAAAAAAAACACCAGAAGATTGAAAATGTGCTCTTCTTATTTCAGAAGATGTAGCTGAGCTCCTAATTCTGCTAAAATCCCATTTTGATTTTAAGGACAATTGAGAACGTCGTAATTTCCTTAAGGATTAGTGTAATATTTTTCGGAAGCCAGTCTTATCCTAGCCTCTCAGCTCTGCTTGTGACAACAGCAACAAATTGCTACCGTAATTTGATTCCATAGGTTTAACACATATATACATGTCTGTTAGCCACTGGTCTTTACAGAGCGAGAGAGCCAGAGAGTTTAAACTAAATTGTACGAGAACGGATCCTGCTTTCTCCAAATCTATCAATGCTCCAAATAAGATTGTGAGATGGGAGAAGGGAGATGGCTGCGTTATGTGCTTGCGTTGCTCACAGTTGTAAGGGTGAATTCACATTAAAGCCTGTTTACCGCAGTGGCTTCCCTATTATTAATTATTATTCCCCATAGCAAGGAGAAGCAGAGAGGGTCAAATGGATCCTTTTATCCAAACGAAAGATTATATTTAACTTCGTTTCTGTTTGGAAATTGCTTCTGGATTATGTGCTTGCAATGAAAAAAAGAAAGAAAAGAAAAGAAAATTTTGTTTTTGCTAATGAGATAGGCTTATTGTTACAGAAATGTACTGTTGTGTAAAAGCAAAAAGTTGAGGTTGTTACCTTCTACTGTGCTAAATAGAGTTGGAAAGCGATGCCTTTTTCTTTCCTTTTCCCTCTTTACACAGTATTTTTCTTTCTCCCTCTCCCTCCTCCTAGTTTTCTATTTCTTTTTTGAATTTCCCTTTGCGTTTTAAATGTTGATCAACTAATGCGAACGTGAAGCCGAAGAGAGAGGAGAAGGGAGAATGGTTGTGTTGTGCACTTGGTGTGGCCCACAGTTCGTAAGGATGAATTAACCTTAAAGTCTGTTTACCACAGTGGCTTTCCTCTATTTCAATCTTAACAATAAATTCCCCAGCTGCATTTGGAAGTTTTAGGAGATATGGTGCGACACTGTCTTGGAGAAGAAACTGAACCTAACATTAACCCCACACTTTCCCCCTGCTGCAAAGTTGCTCAGAACGCAGCATAAGCTTGCGAGTAATGCGCAAAATGAATAGCTGAGCTCTAAATGGGCGCACTGGGAGGGTGGCGGAACCCGTGGAGGGAACCGTTAATGGGCTGCCACGTTATTGGTGCTAATCACTTAAAATGCGCTCCTTTATTAGGAGCTTTAATGAGAGCCACTTAAACTGTGCATTAAAAAGAGGAACTGCAGAGAAGGACGGTGAACTGGGTGGCAGGCACTCGTAAGTCTAATTGAAATGCTTTTAGTACAGGGAGGAAAAAGTTGCCAGAAGCCAGTAATTCTTTGCACTTAAAAAAAACAACAACCCTCTATCACGTAGCATCGATTAATGTTTTGTTGTTCGAGGCTTGGAATTATATTTTATTTTTGTAAGCTTTCTCCCCCTTTCCCACCCCCATGTCCATGCCTTCTCTTCCTCACCCTACTTTTATCAGAATAATAGCTGGAAGGGACCTTGGAGGTCTTCTAGTCCAACCTCCTGCTCAGGCAGGAAACCCTAAACCACTATAGACAAACGGTTGTCCAGTCTCTTCTTGAAAACTTCCAGCAGAGGTGGGTTCCTGCCAGTTCGCACCTGTTCGGTAGAACCGATTCGTCAAATCTACCGAACCTGTTAGAAGAGGTTCCACCAGTGGACCCGGAAAGCAGGCCACACCTACAGAAGAGCTTCCAAAAATTTTTGAAACCCACCACTCACACACATACACAGACAGACAGACAGACAGACAGACAGACTCACAGAGAGAGAGAAAGAGAAAGAGAAA